AGCCCTGTGGGCTGGACAGAATGGCCTGGCAAGCCACATCCGGCCCCCAGGCCACATTTTGCCTACCCCTGGGTAAAGGCATATTGGTGTCTGCACCCAGCACCATTCAGGGGAAGGATTCAACTAGCATTGCACCCAGCCACTCCACAGCCCAAACAACCAGATGCTTGTTCACATCTAGGTCAAGTGGGAGCAGCCTTTGGCACAAGTCTGAAGTGAGGCCTGGATTTCCATTTAGTGCAACACAAAGTGCTGGGATTAATAGAGGAGGAACCGGATGAAAGGTCATGATCTACGTGGTGCAGGAGATCACATAAGAGTAAAATCTGTTATACTGTAACCACTATCCCCCATCCACCCTTGATTCAAGAAATATTATGGTCCAAATAACTTTACCTTGTTGTCTGACTTGCTAGTATTACTCTGGCACGTGCAAGCTGTAACAATTAGATGGTGGCAACGCTTGTGTACAACACAGGTGCATACTAGGAAAGAGAAGCAGCATGCTGGACATGACCAATGACTCCATTTATCAGGCAATAAGCTGGAAGTGTAAATCATTAGCAAGCAATGGAACAACATACACAAAAAAGGAAGTCTGGGATGGTGATTTTCAAAGGGATAATCACCCTAAGAATTTGGGCATCAAGTTTTCTGGATAGTCTTTAAAACACTGGCCTATAAAAATATCAGAACTACAGAGAGAAATGCCAGCGCCCTTAAAAATTACTAAGTTAGTGGCTACTGTCCAGGAAAGTAGCACTAGGAAGTGTTGTTTGCAAGAGTATCCCACCAGTGAACGTACAGTATTACAGATCTCCATTCAAGTCCACTCGTGGCTTAAACAGGCTGGCACTCACCAGGGCTTATTGATAAGCAAAACCTTTATTTTAGATGAAGTTGGATGGGAAAACATCCCTGTTCACATGCAATTTAATAGAAAGACACTGATGTCCTACTATGCCTCAGACAAGCCAAGCTGCTCGACGAGGCTTATTCGGAGAGCAGTCATGAAGGAAGCCACTCAGGCATGTACAAAGCACGGTAGTGCCAAGGCAGAAGGGAAAGGAAGAGGCCAGGACTAACTGATGTGTATTCATTACATGCAAACCCCCACCCTCATATAAATCTGTACTCCCATTCAGGTAAACCAGTTACTTTGCATTAGGCAGAAATACTGGGGTACACCACAAAGCTTCCCTTCCGAGTCATTTCTCTACCTCCAACTGGTTTAACAGCACAGTTGAAGTGTGTGTGTGTGGGTGGGGGGGGAGGGCAGAGAGGAAGAAGGGGGATCCATCCTAGTAGCATAGCATGGTAGAGGCCTAGAGACTGCATTTCCTTGATGGAAGAGCATGTTGCTGGGGTGGCACAGGCCCTGATCTTACAGGAGGAGCTCCGATGGCTTCAGTGGGGCACAGTGTGGCTGCAGAAATCCAACCTGCCGGAGCTGAATGCAGGATGGGGCATGCTGCAGGGGTGGACCTGCATGAGTGCATGCATGCACACATGACAGCCTGCTGGAGGGCAAAGGCACCTCTCCCCGGTTGGCTCATGGGCAGCACGAGTAGCAGCGTCAGAGACGGTGCGGGCTGCATGCCCCGGCTGCCAGGAGAAGCAGCTCTGCGAGGGCACACGGTCTGTACAGCGCACGGGGCTGAGCACTTTACCTTGGCACTGGTATCCTTGCTTCCCAAACACTCCCCTGTGCAAAACAAAACAGAATGAGGAGCGTGACTCAGAGCCCCATGAACACACTGCAGAGAAAGGATCAAGAGAGCAGGCAAGAGGAACTCAAGCCATGGGAACAGCCAGCGCTCCTGCCGCAGCCCAGGGCAGATAACTAAGTGATATCAAAGGCTTCAGCAAGCTGGGCAAGCAGCCAAAAAGCACATCTCTCTGTGTGTTATCTTCTTATTCTGCGTTCTTCGGCACTTTGTTGTCAGTCCGCTCCACGTAGGGACTCCTTGCTCAGCCAGACCGTACACACCTATAATCACCCCTGCCACTTTCCACGCTTCTACCAGCCGCTTCATCAGTTAACTCCAGGCTGCCTACTCTTCCTTCTGCATTCAGATCCATGCCAATCGCCCTCAAATGAGCTGTTGTCCAGAGTCACCCTGTGGATTTCTTAAGGCTGGACCATATCTTTCTGCTGGCTGAGCTCTATTTCAAGGCCTATGTGAAGACCATGCTCTCCTGCCAGTGCAGCCACTCCAGCTATGCTAACAGAAGAGGTCCTGGCAGTGCAGCTTGTGCTCTTTGGAGAGGTGGAGCAGCCAAGCCAGCAGGAAAACCACTTGCCATTGACAACACGTCTCCACGAGAGGGCTCTGCCGACACAGCTGTGCCGGCCACGCTACAGAGGCAAAGGCTCTGGGAGGTGGATAACCAGTGGTTCTCAAGCTCCTTAGACTCAAAGTGCCTCTTGTTAGACTTATGCTTTCCCTGGGGAAATGCCAGCTCTTAGTTTTCACTTGTTTTTTGACAACAGGAAAAAAAACTGAGCGATTCTTCTTTTACAAAATACTCAGACCATAACAGGTCAGAATGGTTTGGATGCTAGGGATTATTTGAAATCTCTGGGTTTATCTGGTGAATCATGTTTGCACATCTCACAGTGCTCACATAGCATGGTACCCTGCAGCACCCTGGAAGAGATTTCAAGGCATCCCAGGGTGCTGTGGTACCCAGGCTGAGAGTCAATACTCCAACCCCTGCAGGGCAAGCCATGCAAAGCCAAGGGACGCCATTTACCTGACATCTATAAAGCACTGTGCCGGGATTTGCTTGCTAAAAGGCATGCAGAGGGGAAGGCAAGGCAGGAGGACAGCAAAAAAACACCAGAGTTTTTAGTCGCTCTTACCAGATGAACTCTCTGCAATGTGAGCAGTACGTGGGTTGTCGCAAATATGTCGCCATGAATTTGTGCCCGTTGATCTGGTGCACTCGTCTCCGCATAGCCCTCTGGCGTTTGCGGGTGAAGTTCTTAAAGATCCTCTCCCTCTGGAGGGTTTCTGTATGGGGGAAAAAAAGGCATGGTGTAAAAATTAATTTGTAATCACCCTTACCAAGAGGGACAATTCTTAAAAGCTCCGTGATGCAAAACATTAACATTAAAGCCACACTGAAGAGAGGGAAAAGCGGAGGCCCAGACCAATGAAAATATTTACGTGGGGGTTTCAGAACAAGTCAGTGGCAAAGACAGGAGCTTAAGTCTAGGCTCGTGTTGCTTGATGAACACTGCTCACGAGACCGTTGGTAGCCTCATGCTATACCTAGGCATTGCATTTGAGGATTTTCCCTTTTAAGTATCAACCAAAAGGCTAAGGGCTACCTTTTCAGTGGTTTGGGCATCTCCACTTACGGGTGCCCACATTATCAGTGGTTTGAGTGTCTTCACTTATGAGTGCCCAACCTGAGGCACTCATAAGTGAAGACACTTTTCTTCACTTCATAAGTGAAGAAAAGTGCCCTTTTCTGGAGGCTGATATTTAGCCCTTGCTGAAAATCAACTCCCCTGGAATGAACTCAAGTCAAGTGTTCACAAGCTTGATGACTTCAAATCAGCAGCTCTTTTTCAAATGTTTGCTCAAGTTTCTGTGCATACTATATCCCTGCAAGGTTAAATAAAATAATGCAAAACACCAAATCGAGTCATTTTCAAAGAAAAGGCTTGCTGTCTAAATCAAGTGAGGCCATTCATGCCCATTAATGGATACCTGATATAAAAAACAGCAAAACAAAATGCCTCTTCTGCTATACAGTGCGATCCCAATAGCAACCGGCTGGAAGCTTGTTGAACTTCTCAGATCAAAGCCCCACGTGCCATAAGTTTGGATCGAGTAACCGAAGCACGTGCTGCAATGACTAGTGCACCTGGGCACTGCTACCTTCTGCTGGGTAGAATCGGACTCAACTGTGTCCGTGCTTGTGCGCGCGCGTGTGTGTGTGTGCGCGCACACACAACAGGGCTGGGCAAAACGTGGCCCGGGGGCTGGATGCGGCCCACCAGGCCATTCTATCC